GCATTTGTGCAGTTGGAAGTAAGTTGTAGTATTTTGATGATGTTCTGAAGTAAATGAAACAATAGAATTAATGAAAGATGGTTGTACTATAGCTATAGATGTCACTGCTTGAAAATCTTTAGTTACTGCACAAATTGGTTGAGACAGTAGCAATTGGTTTAGAAACTGAAGATATAACGATGGAACCATTAACAAATTTTAGCTTATTCTTGGAGATGAGCCATTTTTATTGCTCTTGACCAAAATTCAAAACTTGAGCTTGCGAGAGGTGGAGAAACCTATGTTCATGTAGATGAAGACAAAAGGGGTTGGGGGATCTAATACGAGATCAGTACTCATGATGAAAATTTAGGATTTTAATCCATTTATATTAAAAGAGGAGAAACAAATCAAGGAATAAAATGCAATCGATCAAAAATAATCAATTAAAGATTTAAAGAGACAAAAAAAAAATTGAAGTGAATAGAAGATAAATCGGGAAAATAATCACCAGGTCGGGAAACAAATCAATCAGAAGAACAAATTGAGAATAATCGCAAAAAAATTAATGAAGACAATCCAGTATTATTTGAAGAAAAAACATCAAGGATCATAAAAAAAAAACATAGAAAAAGCACTATTTGGTGTTTGTTAAAGAAGAAAATAAAGGAAAATTCAAGAAAAAAGAATAACTATCTTTTTTTTACTTTTGCTCTGATACGGTTTCACTAATTTGGAAAAAGTGTAAAACCGAAAAATTCTCATTAAGAAAAAATTAAAAGTACAAAAATTGTCTTACATATACAAAGTAGCTAGCTGATATAAATTAGTTACAACTAGGGCTGATATAAATTAAAAGTAAATTTTTTTGAATAAATTTTTTTATTAAATAAAAAAATGAAAAGATTTATCAATATAAGAGAAATGTTAACTGTAATAATATGATTAATGGATTATTGATTATGTTTGATGTCATCATTATTTATTTTTCAGACGATATTTATGATTAAATCAAATAAGTATCAAATTTACATCAATTTCAATAGTAACAAAACAATAATGAGTTAAAATTCATAAAATTCATGTAAAGTTAAATTGTATATAGTTTTTGAATTATTTTATTTTATTATATTTAATGCTTTTATTAACTAGAAAGTAGCAACTACTAAAAAAAAAAAAAAAATCTTCCTTTAGTAGTAGATTATCAATGATTAAATTAATTATTTAATTTATTATTTTTTCTAACTCAGTATAAATTTTGTTTGATTTTTATTGAGAAGTCTAGTAATCTTATCATTTTTTTTATGAAAAAATAATTTAGTAAGACTATGGAAAATTCTATTTGATTTCAGACTCGATTCATTTCGTCCTGTCTGATAGACTTTAATTAACGTTCCAATTTTAGGATGGGATGGAACGAAACTACATATTTATTAGGATGGAATTGTGACTTTATTTTTTATGTTTCGATATTTTGATATGCGACTGAGAATTATATAATTTCATCCCAACCCGATTCATGCACACTCCTAGTTAAACCTATACTAGTTTATAACAAATTTAAAGTTGAAATAACTATTTGTTGATAGAGATGAAAGTGGTGCCGGTATTTTAGAGTACTGTCCCGCTTCGATCCGTTTAAAGAGAATATGGGTAGTCATAAATAGATTTGGGACAGATAAGGATAGCGAAATTACTACCCGTAATGGATACAGGTAGGATACGGGTATATGTCTTTGGATACCCGTTACCTGTTACCCGCTATTGGGTACCCACAAGTGTCCTATCTATTATTAATAAAAATAATATTTTAAATAAGTTTTGATTTGGATAGTTAAGATTCACATGTATCCTACCCGTATAAGAGTACTTTAAACGGATTATGGAGAGGTACGGATAGGTAAATTTTAAACAGATTTGGATACATGTATTTAAAATGAATATCTAAATGGGTTTTAAACAGATACGAGCGATATAATTTTAAATGGATATAAATACGGATAGTTTAAATTTTGCGGATATCCGCCTACTTCCATCTCTGTTTGTTGAATTTATATGCTGCATCAAATTTAAAATTAAAGTAACTACTTGTTGACTTTATGTGCTATATTATTTTTATAAGTGTTCTTAATTCACATACTAAATTTATTAATTATCTTGTATATATATTTGATTTTAGAATCCAAAATTTCTTATTTTCGGTTGTTGTATTTATAATTGGTCAAACTTTTATATATGGTAATAATTATTCCATAATGATTTAGTTGGACTAAATCCATATGCCATATATATATATATTTAAGAGAGGACGTTCGTTACTCATTATGGTGTTTCTAAATTTTAAAATTTTTTATGCACTGAATTGGAAACATAAATGGTAACATTTCTAAGTTCCATGTTAAACATGTGACCTGAGGCATGCGTTACTTATGTATTTATATTTGTGATAATATTTTAAATTATTTAGGAGGTAATATACTATAATATATGAGAAAATTACTATTTTATCTCTATATTTTATCAAAATACATGATTTTACCCTTTTATTTTATTTTTTTTTAGAAATTTTACCCTTTTATTTTTAGTAATACATAGTTTTATATAGTTTTATATGATCTTCGCCTTCTTTACATTGTTATATTCTTCTATCATTTTTTTTTTTTTTTTACTTTTTCATTAAATAAAGCACAAGTTAGTTAATTTTAAAAATATAGGGATAAAATAGTCAACAAATATATGGACAAAATATAAGGAAGAAATAATATTCTTTTTAACAGGAAAGTATAAAAAACAGATAGAAGGATATAATTCTATAACAGAGGCAAAAAATATGTTATGTATTATGACAAAATACAAGGATGAAAATCATAAATTTTTTTAAATAAATAGATAAATTTATATAAAGTGAAAGGTGAGTTAAATTAGTACTATGTAATTGAAGTTAATTAAATGAGTAAAAATTTGAGGCCAAAAATGTAATTTTACTTCATTGATACAAGCGTTACTTAATTTAAAGTTAAGGGTCGATTTTTTTAATTGAATTTTATAACTATTATGGTATTTTATTTTGGTTAATGATGTTTGGTGTGATTTTGAATTGTGGATTTATTGTGAGGCAAGAATTTATGAACTAAAAAAAATTTACATATATAGAAGCATATATGTATGACAAGGAGTTATGTTTATTTGGTCATGATAGGGTTGACTAGATTTTCCTTTTATGGGATCAATTAGCTTTTTTGGAAAAATAATTAAAATTTTTATTTTTTTTGAAAGGTTATTTAATAATCATATATGAAAATATATGTCAATTCAATCTAATTAAATTGTTGAATTTTCTATAATGAAAGAGTAATTTAATATAATATTATATTTGTAATTGCTCCATTTTTAAACAAATTAGTTTTTACCCGCTTCATTTAGATATGTTCAGATAACCAAGTGAGCGGGTGGAATAAGCAATCTTAATTCTAATCGGGAGTATTTGTAAAATCTCCAACTGAAAATATTTATAAGTTAACTGAAGTTTACCACCACAGTAAGATTTTTATATAAGATTGTTTTACATTATTTATAAAAGGATAAATTTAAGTTATTATATATAATGAGATATTCAAAAGGTTATTATACACTTAATGTATATAGTTAATTAATAAATTAAAAGAACCGATCAGATTTGATAAAAACGTTAAAATTCAAACTTATACGTGGATATATGGTGCTGACATTAAATGTTATAGGGCCCACTTATAAAAGATAGCTCTCACATTAGTATGAAATTGACAGAAGATAAACGGAGTCTAGAATTAGTATAAAACACTAAGTAAGTGGTATTGATCGATAAAATTAAAAGAATTGATTAAAATTGATAAAAAGATCAAAATTGAGATTTTTTTTTTTTTATTTATCGTTAAGCCTTCTTTTAATTTAAGGAAATGAGTAACAAATTTTAATGAGGGTGCTGAACTTCAAAGAGAGTAAAAGAACCACAACTCATAGTACCAAACAAGGCCCAATTATAACATCGTAGACTTCCTTTCAGTGGTAACTGGTCCAATAGGAACACAAATCATGGGATGAAATCCACTTATTTAGCCATAGGAGTGAAACCCACTCGGGCTCGGAACAAACGTAATAAATATTGAACCGATGTTAGTAAGACTTTATACGAGTTTGCAAGAATCACACAACTTAAAATTTTGTTTGGATGGGTGAGGGAAGAGTAAGGAGGGTGACAATAATAAAAATATTGTGTTTGGAAATAGGTAAATTAATGAAAAGAGAAGGAGAAGTAATGTACATTCTTTACGTTTGGGTAGAGGTGAAGGGAGGGAGACGAAGCTTATTTTTAATGGCCAAACCTTCAATTTCGCTCTGAACTTTTCGAATTGTTGAAATTTCATTCTAATAAGGTGTAATAGTAACTAGATGATAAGTTTAGGATACCCAAGGTATAAATGTCGACTTAAAGTGAACTTACAACTATTCGAAAAGTTCATGGTAAAATTGAAGATTATATCATTTTTAATTGTAAATTAATTCAAATATTACTTTTCTTTCTTTACATCCCAATACGAGATATAAAAATTAAGATTTGAGGAGTAAATAAGGGTAAGGATTACTTTGATTTGTCTTTATCCCTCTTTGACTCGCTTCTTCACAAACAGGGATACATAAGTTACTTGCTCCTTCTCAGCATTATTTACCCACCTTGACCTCCATCCAAACAGGCTCTAAAAGTTAAACGACCTTCCAATTGGCGAGCCCAATTCCATATTAAATTTTATAACATCTCCTTACCTCACAGTACAGATCTTAATAGTATCCTTAAAAAAGAACTATTGTGATTAATTAATAGGTGCTTGAAAATTAAAATATATCATATATGAAAAGAATATTATCCAATAACAATTTCAGCTTTCTAATGGCAGACTATGACCTGAAACATTTCAAGTGCCAGATTCCCTAGTAGCATAATGCAGTATAAACCTAATGAGAAATGAAATTGTTCATTTTCTACTTCAGCTATCTACATTGGTTATAGGACCTTTAAACCAGTGCCTAGCATTTAAAATCCAGGAAGATATTAGGAGGAAGAGCAAGCCACCAACTGCGACCGGAGTGTAATTGAGTGTCTCATTGGTAATAGGGTAGGCTACAGGCAATGAGAAGAGGATTGAGATAGTTACCACCCAAAGAACTGCTGTCCAACCAATTAGCACACCGTAGCGGCCCAAATTGAATGGTCCAGGGATGAATGACTTGCGCGCCAAGGTAACACGGAAGAAGATAGGCAGGGCATAAGCAATATACAATCCAATAGTGGCTATGGATACCATTGCTTGAAATGCCACTGCACTTCCAAGATACTGCACAAGATCAAGCAAGAAAGAAATGATAAGTGTCAGAATTAGATACGAACAGAGATCAGATATCAGTAAGGATTTTCATTGGCTAAAAAAACTGATGTGAAATGGAAAATTAGGTTTTTACCAAAAAAATTAACAAAGATAATGTCATATAATACTGATAAATCACTACATTTCGGTTGCTGGACTACGTTTTATATTCAGAGTAAAGGAAAAAGATGGTCAAAGAAGGTAATCAAACTTAATCTGTAATGCAAAACATAGTAATGCTTTTCATAACACTTGCAATATAAACAGATATTACAGATTTATTGCATTTGCAGCAAAATGGAAACAGAAATGTATTTTGTCTACTGGCAATTAGCAGTAACTACACAAGGGGATTTTCTGTACGATACATAGCCAATATAATAAATTTGGACCGGAAGAAATGGAAAGGGAATTAATACCGTTAATGCCATGCAAAACGAGATAAATGCACCAAGCCAAACAGCATTTATAGGGATCTCCTGCTTGTTCACTTTGTGCCAAAGTGATGAGAATGGCATTGCTCCATCTCTAGAAAATGCATAAGCCATTCTGAGAATGAATATGTAGCATTGTTAGTAGCTAAATGAAGAGCCTTTGAAATCAATCTCCAAGTGCTTCACATGAGATATCAAACAAGAAGCATATATGTGCATACATATATTACCTTGAGTTGCTAGTTACTGAACTCATACCGCAGAAAAATATGGCAACAGCAACTACTCCTAAGCAAACAATTCCTCCAACTCCACTACCATATCTACTCTTGAATGCTTGGTAAAATATTTCAGCAATGGCGTAACCACCAGCATCATTGTCTTCGCTCAAAAGGTAAGGGATGTTGGTAACAGCAAAAGTGACACCGAGAATGTAAAACCATCCAAATATAACAGATATACCAATGGCACTTATTATTCCTTTAGGTCCATTCTCATCAGCATTCTTTGTTTCCTCTGTCTGGAAATAACAATTTAAATAGAAAATAACTTATCTAATTCCAGTCCTTCCAATTGTCATTAACCATAAAAGAAAAAGAAACTGCATAAGAATACTTTAATGAACTAGTAATTGTAATTCTTCTCAGAAATAGAGACTAATTAATCAAGAAATTAGTTAAACATTTGGCAATATAATGTAGAAGTTGGTTAAAATTTTCTTTTTCTCTTTTTCTCTTTTTTTTTTTTAAAAAAAAAATGAAGAAACAGCTTCAACCTTTGTGTCACTCTGAAATTCAGATGACTTTATTTCTATTAATAATTTTTTATTCTACCTAATAGAAGTTCTCGAGGTAAACTAAGCCTTCCACTCTTCTAACAGTTTTTTGAAGACAGGTCTAAAGAAAAATGTAACTTACCATATGAGCTGATGCATCATAACCAGTAAGAGTATATTGGCTCATCAGAAGTCCCAATACAAAAATGTAAGCTTTACTATTGATTCCATCCCCGTTATCCGTGTTGAAGTGCGTGAAAACAAACTTGGCACTAGCCCTCTCAGTTGCAACACAGGGAATAAGAATTGTAAGAACTAAAACCCCTAGAAAAATCCAAAGGCAACAGAGATTTAAGAAAAAGGTTTGCTCAAGGAACAGGGAAGTACAGAGATAGAATAAGAAACTCTTCGTACCTACAAGATTCCAAGCAGCAGCCAGTTGTCCAAAAAAAGACAACACTGAGATGGGAAGACTATTTAGCATAGCATGTAAGAGTAAAATTCCGCCATGCATAGCAATAACTACATATTTGGATGCCTCATAACCGCCACCATTTTTTCCACCTGTGCTAAGAAGAATAATCACCTGAATCAACTGCGCAAGTGAGAAATCTATGCTGGTTGTAACAGCCCACTGCAAATAAGATTGTACATTACGGAGTTAGAATAACAAGCCCTTTTCACATCATAAACATGCTTGGCAGCCAGTACATATGGAAGGCTACAAAACTTCAGCATTGATTCTCAGGTATACCTGACCAACAATGTTGAACCTGCAAGAAAAAGGAAAAAAAAAAAAAAAATCAATGTACCCATGAAACATGTCTTGTGAAGACCAACTTCAGTGTCTTCACTTGCAAAATGTGACTAAATGAGTAAGATATATATTTAAACTTATATGCATACAGAACTGCAGGAGATCATATGAAAATATGTATTATTATGCAATCAGAAGAATACAATGAGCTAGTTAAATGTAATCAATGCTTAATAATATAATTTCTGCTGCAAAATTCCAAACTTTACCCAAGAATCAGCTCACATAATAAAGAACACTAAGTCCAAGTTACATTGTGCAAAACCGAATGCAAGTCTCAAATGTGTCAGCATATGTGGTGTGTAAGAAACTATCTAAGTATTTTAGTTCTTTTCCTGATATCTCAATCAGAGTTTAAGTATTTTAGTTCTTTTCCTGATATCTCAATCACATTCATTTTTTGACAATTCAAGTGTCAGAACAGTATTTTGGTTGATACCTGGGTCGTGCGACTTGTGAAATTGTTATCACTATCTCACCCTCCTTTTTATTAAATTTTGGGAAGATAATCAGATTACAGGGGTAGTGTGTGTGTGTGTGTGTGTGTGAGAGAGAGAGAGAGAGAGAGAGAGATTTGTAAATCTCTAATTTAGCACTTACAAAAACCTATACAGTAAAAAGAAATGAGCTGCTTTTCCTGTGTCAGAGAAGTTGGATCTTTAGCCATACTTTAGAGACAAGTAAAAAATACATTTTGAGGTGTACAATGTCTAGACCAAATTAATCCATCACTAAACTTTCATTCAAATTACGAAGAGATATTTTACGTTCCTATACTGAAAAGAAAAAGGCTGTGGAATCTTAGTGACTAAATGGAAGATGAAGCTCTAAACCATCTGACAGAATTTTATTCAGTACATAACAGAATCATCAAATTACTATTCTGTTCCAATAGTGTGGTTAAACGATTCGTAAGTATAATGGAAAAACCTTGAAGTTTAGTCTCAGAAGAACCTCAAAACGAGGAAAAAGCTCTAAACCATCTTACAGTCTATACAAAATAGCAGAATACATAGCGCTCATAGTTGGAAATGCCTTGGATTCTAAAACAACGTGCTATGTAAAGAAAAAGCGAAGCAATACATCAAATATATAACAGGCCTTAAGTCATGACCTAAACCCAAGGAAGCTTTTGCAAATATCTTGTAACGCCCCAAAATTTTCAAAAATTTTCAAATCTTAAAATGATATTATTTTATCGGGCAAGAACGGTGCTAGAGAGGGGCATAATATTTTATTTAGACCCGAGGAGGAAGATATTGAGTATAATACTTTAATGACTAATCAACCGTCAGTCATCCTAAGAACATGAACTTAAAAGTGAAATTGATGACCAAGAAGCTAAGAAATGAAAGAGACTCATCATAAGAAACCAGTGAAAATTGTCAATATAAAACTTTAGAAGCACAAAAATTGCAACCCAGAGAGATTACCATCCAGTTATCCATGAGGCAAAGGGAGCCCAACTAGGGCCAGCAAGCTTTGCACTCCAGTAGTAGAGACCACCAGAAGTTGGGAAAGAGGAGCAAATCTCAGCCATCGCTAACCCAACAACCATGGTGAACAAACCAGCAATAAACCAACCATATTGCAATGAAACTGGCCCACCAAAATTCAAGCCAGTGTTATATAAGGTGGTTATGCCAGTGAGTACTGATATGATCGAAAAAGAAAAGGCAAAATTGGAAAACATCCTGCAATTTTGGAACCCATTTCATTATTAAAAATGATACGGGTAAATTAAACTGAAACGGGAAAACTGGTTGTTGAGAAATTTACGAGAGATCACGCTTGAGCTCTTGTTTGTATCCAAGCTCCCTAAGACGAGCAGCTCCTGAATCAAGAGCAACTTTGCCATTTTGAGCTGTATGAGATGGAAGAGCCATTTTTTCACTATCTAAAACAATATTGGCAATATAAGGATCTTGAAGGATGAGAGGTTTCAAAGAAAGAAAGAGAGATTATATTCTGCTTTTGCAGACCAAAAAGACCAATCTCTCGGTTCCCATTCTTTCTTGGAGTATCCTCTCCTCTTTCACCGTCTCCCTCCTCATCCTTCTTAGTCTGTGCTGTGTCTTCTTTGATTGAAACTCTACTATCTTTGGTTATTTCTTTATTCAGAGAAAGATTGTATTTTTGTTGTAAATGATCAAATGGAGATCAAACTGTGTATGCAGTAGTTATTTTCTTGGAATGATGTCCATGGTCAAAGAAAGCCACCAATGTCACAGGCTTCCAAATGGGAATAAGGCTTAGCTAAGCTACACATGGAATTTCATCTCCCACCTAAATATTATTTTATTTTTACAGGAAGCAGTGCAGCAAATTCCTTTCTGGCTCATTTTAACAAGTAAATATACTAAATTCACAACACTTACGCGAGACCGGAAGGTTTCATGTTCAAAATCTCTGCTACAAAAATTGTCAACAATTTGATGAGTACAAGAGACCGCAATATTATTTCGGCTGATCTGGATCTCAAATCAATAAAAAAGATTTACACAAGAGTTACTCTTTACTAGTTGTCAATTATTATTTATTATTATAAGTTTCATGATGGGTGCATAAAGAACTGTATCTTTTAATAATATTTAGCTTATCATTAATATATAGTTCTTGAAAAAGTAACAACAAGAAGAATTTTCTATTCTATTATTTTAAAGTTGAATATTTTTAAAACAGAAAGTTTTGTTTGGAATCTTTGACATAACAATAAGAATCTTGAGTTGTGAAATATTTGATTTTTACCATTAAAAATCCATATTTCCATATTGGCCGCAGTTTTTCTCTAACAAGCATTTGACTAAAATATTCACTCAAATCCATTAAGAAGAAAAATACCTATATACGGAGAGAATAAATAAAATCAGTTTTTCCGTTTATATCACACTTCCTAATCCATTGAATTAATCCTTGTCCTAGTAAGGCCTATAAGGAGAAAACACTGCAGGCTATAAACTTTTTCTATTCACAAATATTGAGAACTCCACTTCTTGTTTAAGAGAACTGTTTTCTCTTTACTCAAATTGTTGTTAAAACCATATTTTTCAAAAAACATACTAAGCTCTTAAACATGAACAGGAAAACCTCTTTGAGCTAAATCTCCATGGCCAATATAACCATTTGTCAGAATTAGAAAACAAAGTTAAGATTTAACTTGTTAAGGGGTGGAATATAATTTCTTATAATTAGAAAAGGAAATGGAATTTTAATAAATATTTAAAAGAAAATTCTAGGGAAGTGGTCCCTCCAACCCAAGAGTAAGACTGGGTCCGTCCCCCCTTAATGAAAGTCATTGGTACAGTTACGGCCTCGTGATCAACATCAATCATTTCAAAAAAAATTATTATTTTTGGTATGCATTAGTAAAAACTGTCTATATCGATGGAATAATAATAATGATGATGATTAAATCAAATACAATTAGGAATTTTCTATAAAATTATTTAATTCTTCAATTTACTTATGTATAACCAAATCTCGAGATTCGTCAAACTTTGCGGAAATTATGAGCAAAATATTTACAAATTGAATGAAAAAAAATAATAGAAAAAGGTTAATTACAATAATAAAATACATAATATATTTTCCTAAAAAAAATAAAACTTTAAAAGTCACAATTCTAACCCAATCAGGTGTGATACGATTGGTTTTCTCGCCATCTCATTCATATGAAGAGCGAGAGATTTCTATTATATTATACATAATGTTATTTCAACTTATTAGGTCTTTTAATGAATTAAAAAAATATACAATTTAAGTAAATTTTTATCATGACTTAGTGGGTTTTTTTCAATTTATTTAATTCTAATTCACAATTTGTTATGTTCACAAAAAGTTATATGATACTTACCCCATATTAATTTTGCAATTTTAGGATGATAGAAACAATTTATTTGCACACAATTCAAAAGAAGAAAAAGCCTTTCTAATAATATAATTTTAAAAATTTATATGCAAAATAAAAAATATGGAAAAAATCATGCTATAGCTAATGCAGCTAAGATGGTTGGTGGCAGCCATTTATGACGCAATCATCTTGGACGGTGACAGCCTATTTATCACCATGAGGTACATACATAGACCCATCAAGGTCATGTGGCCACCTTCGTACATTTCTAGTTTTTGAGCTTTTTGCATTAAAAAATAAAAAACAAAAAAATGAAATAGAGAGTACGATACCAGACAATACAATATTAATTATTAATTAATAACATGTTATCCGTATATCTACTTACATGTTTACTGATATTAAAATTATTTATTACTATTTTGTTGAATTACCATTAATAGACATGGATAGAGTTGAATTTTATATGGTTAATGATATTCTTTAGTTTTTCAATACTTAATAGAATTAACAGTATCATTAATATTTTTTCAAAATAATAAAATGTTTCAATTTCTTTTTTCAAAGAGTATATTTACTTAAAAAAGAGTTTCTTATTTATTTTTTGAAAAAAAAGTTGTCTTAAAAATTGAAAAAATTGAAAATGCGCTTTTTTTATAATAATAAAAAATATTTTTTATAAATTAAAAAAATTATTTTGATTTTTTTAATTAAAAAGAAATAAATTCAGCCATCACCCAATACCAGCAGCTAAAATAAAGAGATAAAATAATTAAGTTTACCGAATATGGGATATTGTTTTCCATGAAGTCATTTACATTTTAAAGGTTTTATTTTAAACCAATTCTCATTTTCTATTCAAACTGATTGTAAACCGAACAAGACTATGATATGATACATTTTGACGTCTTTGGATTCCCAAACAAAACGGACATCGTATTCACACCAACCACGCGTAGGAATAGGAACAGAAGACAATTTTTGGACGGTAGGAAAGCCAACTAATTTCCTAATTTTTAGGAGATATTATCTAAAATACTAAAACAGCTACAATAAACTCTGTGATTAATTAGCTTCAAAAATAATTAAGTATTAAATTATTAGCTGTCATATTTTTTATTTTAGCATTTTCTCAATCAGAGCTTTGTAAATTCAATAAATGAGAGTCTATAGTTAAAAGTTGATCATTTATAACTAAAAGTTAATTGGATAAATGTGAAGGAATTGTATTTCAAGATAAATTTTAGATACAAGGAAATCTAAAATTACTACAATTGTGAATGGATTAATAAAATTTAGTTAATATGATTAAATTATAATTTTTATTTTATTTTTTCCTAATATATCTTTATACTAACTATGTTCCATAATACTTGTCACATAAAATAGTTTATTCCAAAATACTTGTCATATTTGTGGTTTTAAGGAATGATAAATATTTTTTTCTATGTTTACCTTTTGTATATAATCAATAATTATTACTTCAATTTAATGATTTTCTTAGAAATTAGTATCAAATGAAGGGTAATATAGCCAATTTACTCAATAAATTATTTTAACTTAGACAAATTAATTGATCCACATTAAATTGTTCTTACACTTAATCAAACATTTGACTATTATATATTGACAATATAGTAGTTTGACTATCGAGATTTAATTAATGACAATATAGTAATTTGACTATTATATTTGTCGACAGAAAAACATATTAAATAAGAGTAAAATAATAAACTTTAAAAATATTATTCACTTTTAAAAAATGAAACCAGATAATATTTTAGGACGGATTCCAAAGAAAAGTAGAAAAAATATTATGGGACGGGAAGGAGTACTATTTATGAAATAGTTTCACTTGAGCCAAATACATTTTATGAAATATTTGAAAACTTTACAAAATATTATCAATTTGACCTGTTATTGTATAGACAGATACTTCACAAAAAAAAAAAAAAATTACAATAATTACAAAATTATTAGCAACTGAAGCTATTATTTTGTAGTCCGGCCATTTTACAATGCCAAACACGATCTTTTTTTTTTTTTATGAACTATTTGAAATTATTACAGAATAGTGGTACCTGAAGCTATTATTATGTAACGTGACAGAACGTAATACAAAAAATTGGTGAATTAAGTTATTATTTTGTAATACAACAAGTTTATAAAAAGTAGCCACTTTCATAAATTCTTAAAAAATATTACAAAATATTAATAACCGGAGTCCGGAGCTACTAATTTCCGATTCAACAACTTTGCGAAAAAAGTTTTACTGGGCCCTAGCCCGACTCAATTTGAAAACAGAAAATTGAAAATTTTGCTCAAATCCAGAACTTAAGACCCGTGAGCTTTGCCTTGTCATATTCATGTTTGAGTTCAGTCCGATTCGAATTAGGCTCATTGTGGGTCTAGCCCATATTGAGCTCGGGCTCAGAAAAGATTGCTTTAAGTCCAATTTTTTGTCATATTTACAGAATGAGTGCCCAAACTTGTGACCAGGTTTAATACTATAAAGATATGAAAAATATATAAACACTTATTAAATAATTAAAAATTATGAAAATTATTATTCAGATTTAATCAGTTATTTAGCAGTAATTATGAAAAAGACAACTGTGAACTCCAGAATGATACAAATAATCAAATTAAAAAAAAATTGCGTATAGAAAGAAACAAAGAGGCAGAGGATTAACGTACCAGCCAGTAAGCCAAGAAGCAAAAGGCCCCCAGTTGTTGCCACAAAGCTTTGCACTCCAAAAGTACAGCCCACCAGAAGTTGGATAAGCGGAACAAATCTCAGCCATTGATAATCCCACAATTGAAGTTAGCAACCCAACAATTGGCCACCCATATACCATCGTTAAAGGACCCCCAAAACTTAGACCTGTACTGTACAATGTCGTTAGACCTGTAATCACTGATACGATGGAAAATGTCACCGAAAAGTTTGATATTGCCCTGCACATCACACAACCAAACACTAATAAATCTCATTAATCGCCATTTTTGAATTTAATTAACAAGAGATAATTCAAGAAATTCGAAAAATAGATGCAGAAAATCGGAAGAGAAGACGAAGAAGAAGAAGAAGAAGAAAAAGAAGGAGATGGAGATGATAGAGAAGGAAATTTATACGCACGAGAGACTACGGCTGAGTTCTTGTTTGTAACCGAGTTGTTTCAGTCGATCATTGTCGGATTCGACGATGTCACCGCTTCTGAGAGAGAGGTAGTGAGACTCTGGAGCTTCTTCCAGCGAGTTTCTGATTCCGGTTCCCATTTCGAACTAGAAGCTTTAGATGATAGTGAACTAGTTATACTCTACTTTACCCTGTGCTCTCTTAGAATGCGTGGATTTTCGTTGCATATATATAATTAAAAAAGAAAAAAAAAAAAGTCAAATTTCATCTAACAGTCAAATTAACTATTTCATTGACAACGTAAGTTTTGTCATTCAATTTGCCAACAAATGCTTAGCACGTGCGAAGAGTTTTTAACGTTTAACTCCGATAAACATATATGTTGAGAGGGCAAAGAGCCTTAACTTTGACTAAACTTTAAGTCGAATTAATTTGTTTCTAATAATAAAATTCAGATACTACTAGTGGTTTAAAAAAATATATATTTCATTGATGAATTTAATTTGTATAGTATTAAGTGAAACTCTCAGCAAAATATTATCTCATTTACGATCTGATTTGTTTCACTGTTTTACTAATCATAACCATATTCATTTTATTTATATCTACTCAAAATCTAATAAATACTACTTAATACTCTCTTCGTTCCATATATATAAATATTAATATCATGTTTATATTTGATTTATCATTTCATGTATGTATTCATCTCATATTTCACTAGGTAAAAATCTCTTGCTACAGTACCATAATATTTTGAAAACCAAATTGGTTAAAAATTTGGTGAAGGCAGAAATTCACTGAATTTGAACGAATTCAACTGAATTAAATACGATTCAATCAGACTTTTATTATATAACATTTTTAAATATAATTAAAATAATTTATAAATGCTAAATAACTTTTACAAAAGGAAAAAAAAGTAGCTATCAAAATACTTATTCAATTCTTATTTATGCTTATTCAATTTGGTTAAATTACTCCATTTTCAGCATTAACTTATTTGAGGAATAATGATCCTTCCCTAATCGGCAAGCTTGCAAAGAGGCTTGACCACCACAAACTTCTTCTATTTATTTATAATCTTTTAGTTGGGTGGGTTATTTCTCGGTGGAGCAATAATTTCGTGCTAACAAAAGTTGTTCAAACTTTTGTTTCATCTTATTATAGATAAATAAATACTCAATTTCACTAAATATTCAATTTATCCAAAATCAATTTTTGGATATTAATTTAGGATATAAACTTTCAATTTATAATCAATTTTACCCGACTAATAAAATATTTTTAAATAATAAAAACATTTAAAAATTAAAAAATAATAAAGGAAAGAAATTCAATCACGATGTCAAGGTGGAGAAAAAAAAATCAAAATAAAAACAAATTGTTTCGATTTTCATAATTTTTAATTTTTTTTCAAATTCGGAGCTTAAATATTTTTTATTATGTAAAGTAATAATTAATAAGCGTTTATTATTTTATTTTAGACAGTGAATGTGGGCCCAGGCCACATGCCTAGTTAAGCGGACCTGTATTATTTTGTACTATTTAATATTTATGTCGTGAGAAAATTATTAGTTCCAAAAAGTACAAATTTAATATGGAGTTTATACTTTTTAGTAGAGAAAGTAGTGCAGTATTGGTTGGCAACTTTGTTCTTTCGCGGACAGTCTACAGTGTCTCTGACTGTAGAAATGTTGTTACTTCCACATGTTAATCCATAATTTTAAAAATAAAATTTCAAATAGAAATTTTTTATTTTTTATTTTTAAAAATCATTATATATTTTATTCTTATATCTATATATCTATATTTCAAGTTGGAAAAAAGAGAAATTTTATAAATGTCGATTTGGTATTCTCTTTTTTCAGCATTTTATTTTTTTTATACATTTTAAAAATAATTACTTTGTCATTTTATAAGATTTGGATTGGATAATTGATTTACTTGTTATATAATTATTAGTTAATTGATATATATTTAAAGATAATAAAAACTATCTTTCATATTACATTCTTCATATCTCTTTTTATTATATTCTTTAAAAAATTTAGAAGTGTGGAATCTATTTTGTTTACACATTTTATTTTATATTGACTATATTTAATTTATTTCTTATTCTTGTTTTTTTCTCATTCGTTTATTGAAAACTCAATCGGCTATTGAATGTCTTACTTACAATTTTTATACTAAGTGAATCCTTGAGAAGGGTCTAACTAATGATGATATTAGGAATAAGAATGACTATTCAAGATACTATAGGTCGTAAAAGTGGAATTCATTTATCTATTTTTATGAAATATGGTATAAAGTTGTTTGAATGTAGGATTAATTGCTTAAAAAACTTTAATATATTTTAATTTTAATATAATTTTTAATTTTATTAATTAGCCATTATATTCATATTACCTCAACATGAAATCATGTTTTAACATTATAAAAATTTAGAAAAATAAAATAAAATAACTGATACTTAATATTATAAAAAATAAAGAACGAGTATAAAACGAGCGATAGTAATGTGCAAAGAAAAAATATTATATATGAAAGTTGAAATTGGTAGGGGAATATTGGATTGCCAAAAATGCCCTATTAAGTTTATGGATAGACAAAACTTAATATCATTAAGAATTTAAATTTAATTGGTTGAAAAATAAAAGTTATTTTATTTTATTGGTCATATTAAATTCCTACCAAAATCTAGATTCTATTGGACAAAGTAAGAAATTGTATTAAATACTATATAAAGTATATATAAAATATAGTAATATTATTCAGTTCCACCTTTTTATTCTGAATATGACTGTTTTGAAATCAAAATCATATAATATAATATTAATAAGATATATAATGTATATATTAAATATGGTAATATAACATAATATGGCAATCCTATTATATGGTAATATATATATATATAATGTGGTAATATAATGGTAATATATAGAAATATATGGTAATATAATGGTAATATATAGAAATATATGGTAATATATCTATATTACATGGTAATATAATATAATATAATATGGTAATACTATATAGAAATATATGGTAATATATCTATATTACATAGGTAATATAAATATAATAAAATATGGTAATACTATTTGGATGAATATTAAATATGGTAAGAATATAATATCTTGAAGGATTTTAATTTTAATTGGATTTTAATTTTATTGGTTTAAAAAATAAAATAAATTTAATTTTGATTGGTTATATTATATTATATAATTAAGGTACATATTAAGTGTAAGAACATAATATATTTAACTATTATTTTTAATAAATCTTTAATTCGGTTGGTTATAATTATTTTGTACATGTAACTTATTCTACAAAAAATAAATATAATTTTGTTATTTATTTATTAAGATATATATTATAAGATTTATTGTTTGATATAAAATAGAAATTAAAACTCACTATATATATAATATAATAGAAAAATTATGGTGTAACACATTATATGACTAAACAATATAATACATTAATATTTTTTTTATTATGAAATTAGTGGATATCACTAAAGTCTATATTCCTAATTAGTGAAAAGTCCATTTCTTTTTTTGTTATGGAGTATTACTCTTGTGCTAATATATATGGCTTTTGAATTAATAAGAATAATACTCATATTTTTCTCTGTATATTCTCCTTACTTTTCTATTATCACGATTTCGTTTTACTGCTTTCATTTTATCAAATAGCTTAGAGAGTTGCTTTGATTTCGTTCTACCTTTTTTTTGATCAAGTCATTTAAAGAGAGGATAATTTGTGATTTGCGACAATCAAAATTAAGATTCAACTATTTTAAATTTATTTATTTTTGAAAGATAATTCTATACATCTTGAAAATTTTATTATTAGTAATCATGGTTTGTATGTTACCTAACTTGTTTTTCATATTAAAATGACAGATAGTGTTGGTTTCTCTCCCCCCCTCTCCCCCCCCCCCCCCCCCCCCCCCCCCCCCGATATTCACGATCATTGATTTAGAACCCTTTTTTAATACAAGAGACATCAGAATTATTTTTTACTACTGTAAATATACGTTTGTCAATCACTATCTTATTATAACGTTATCTTATATCACGTTATATTAGGTTAATAAATTTGAGAAAAAAACTTGCCACACCGGGGTTTATGGCTCAACTTATCAACTAAACTAACGAAATTTAAAGATTTATTTTAAGAAAAATATCCGATATTCACGATCTGATTTAGACCTTATTTTAATACAAGAACATCATGAATTATTTTTTACTACTGTAAATATAACGTTTGTCAATCACTATCTTATTATAACGTTATCTTATATCACGTTATATTAGTTAATAAATTTGGAAAAAACTTGCCTACACCGGGTTTATGGCTCAACTTATCAACTAAACTAACGAAATTAAAGATTTTTTAAAAAAATATATGATTAGAAATATTCTCATTTTAATAAAAATCTTTAATTGTATTAGTTTGGTTCATAGGTGGGGCCATGAATCCGGTCTAAATAAATTTTTTCCAACAAATTTACACTCTTACGAAGCACCAAAAAAAGAAGAGAGAAAAAAAAACCTACGGGTTATGGCTCAGTTGGCAGCGCAGGTTAAGTATATGGAAGAGCTCTTGGATTCAATCTCTACTAAATACACAGGGGTAAAAAGTCTTAACCGTGATTGAATTTCGAGCTAGATTAGACAGTCCCTGAAAATAAAATGCGGCGAAAAAAACCAAGGCTCCATAGAATAATTTGGAGGAAAATATCTTTCACAATTTTTTATTATTTATGGCTTTCACGGAAAGTATTTTAAGCAACTTTCATAATTTACCATTTTTTTTACATTTTTTTTTCTCACATTTAATAATAAATTTTAAAATATAAAATTATTTTTATTAAAAAAAACTAGAATTTAAATTTTTTATTATTTTTCAATACAACAAAGGAAAATATGAAAATATGTGACTTTAAAATATTTTATAAGAAAACACTTCATTCTAAATATTTTCAAAAAATAAGTTATTTTGTAGAAATAAAGGGAGTTTAAACTAACAAACAAACAAAATATTCAAATACTCAGTTACATGAAGACCCTCTTAACTCAGTGTGGGAAGCAGCCATACTCTTATAAATTTCAAGGACCAACTTAGTATCTACAACCAATGCCTCTCCACAAAACACCATTGAAATATCTCTCTCCTTTGCAATCTTTTTCCCTCCAAACAATCCTTTCCTCTTCAAATTTCCCATACCATTTGCTATCCTTATCATCATATCAACATAAGCTTCATGAAAGTTCACCAGAGCTCTAACGGGGGATTCAAGTTTCCATTGCAGCTTTGGAATTGTTCTCAACTTCCATAGCCGTCGTGATCCTCCACCTAACCTTATCACTTTAAGCTTCCTTTTATTCGAATTCGATCCATAAAACGTTTGGTATCTTCTTCTTCTTCTCAGAAATCTCTTCAATGAACTAGAAATGCTCTCCATGTAATTGTTTTATTATATAGTAGCTGTAGATGATATATAAGCGTAAAGAAAGAGAAGGTTTATATATAGAAAAGGAAGTGATGTTAGAAGACAGAGAGTTGTGTTAATTAATTGGTCAGATTAGGGTTTTTTTGACCTGGTAATTAAGATTTAGGATCAACAATGTTTAACCTTGTATTTATGCTTTTGGATTATGTATAATTTCAAGTTTCAAGCATTTATATTATATAGGTTTCTTTGACAAGGTAAAAGATAAGATTAAAATAACATATTTTTTTTCTTTTAGTGATTAGGTTATTATGCTATTGCATGGCTTTCATCAATGGGTTTCATTTTAGGGTCTAAATCTAATATAGCTAAGTAATAGAATTTACCTTTCTGATGCATCATTAAAAAAATAATTTAATTGGTGAGTTTTGACTCAATAATATAAGAGTAGATTCTCAAACAATAATAAAATTATAGTAGTTAGCGAAAATAAGAGTTTTCTTCTTATTAATTAATACTATTAAGGAGTACTTCGTAAATAGTATTTCTAAATGTATCAAAATGATATGAAAGAGTGAATCGTTAAATCATTCAAAGAAGAAATTTAATCTTAGTGCATATAAACTGATGTGAGAATACCCTAAATATATAAATAATTCATATTATAATTTTTAAAAAGATAAAGAGATAGGCTATAGCTTTGAGACAATTTATTAAGGTGTTACAGAACATTTTAATTAAAAGTACTTTTGGATTCATAAATATTAAGGAGATGATTTTCAAGTTGCAGTGGATAAATTTGAATGACACAGTCAAAATCCCAATCTGACATGTTTTATGATTTTATGCATGCCTAAGAGAAAATTGTCTCCAATTTGTGTCTTCTCTCTTTGTACAATTGTGATCCAAGCACAAGTCCAAATTAAGTAACCTTAAACTAATAATGACAAGCACAAGTCCAGATTTTCTAAAAATACATTGTACAATATCTAAATTCATCTTTTTAAATGTAAATATAAAAATAAATTACACCTAATAAATATGGATAAAGTTGAAAAAAATAATTAATATAATCTCAAAATCTTAAATGAGTACTTAGAAGGAACAAGGTAAAATAAATATTTATTGCTGTTAAAATGAAACAGAGGGAGCAGTAAATTGTCTTACCCTTTTCCTACGTGATTAAAAGAGAATTAGGTCTATTTTATTCTCATTTTGCCCTTTTTCATTTTGGTGGACTAGTAAAGTTTAAAAAGGTAATACTTTTAATTTAATACTTTAAATAAAACAAAAATTGTAAAAAGAAAAACTCTAAAAAGCCAGAGGATTAGGGTTAAGATTCAATTCATAATTTTCTTTTTTTTTTAAAAAAAAAAACAGCAACTTATAACATTCTGCTTTTTATTCATTTTATTTTCCTGTAAAAGTATACAAATTATTCATTTTATTTTCCTGTAAAAGTATACAAATTACAGAAGTACAAAGGGGTATACATTATTTTTGACAATTATTACATTATTGCATTTCTATCCTCTAAGTCAGCTGATTATTAGCTACATGAATTCAAGAAAAGGAGAAATATATATCATCTTTATTTGATTGCTGAATCTTAATGGATCAAGAATATCTATTTTCTCCAGGTGAATATGCTATACAACTTCATTAGCAAGTAATAACCAGCAAAAAGAGAAGTCATTGTAATGAAAAACCAACTCCTTGACATCCATGCACGACTGCTTTCTGATGAGACCACTTCTTTCTTCTCTTCTATACCTCCTTTCCTGCAAAAATTCCAAGTCTTTCTGTGTTAAGAATTGCCAAGAGTCCTAAAATGTTATAGAGATAAAGTATACTTTCATATGAACTTTAATAACTTATAGTCAACAGTTTCAACATAGTGCTTTTCTCAACAGTGATACTGAACGGACTTTATTAGATGACTTACGTTTTTCTTGTTTGAGGTTTAGGCGTCTCCATTTCAGGGGCTTCTTCTTTCAATTTAGCTTTCTGGGTTGTTTGTGATTGTGACTCAGCAGCGGATGCTGCTGGTTCTTTTGGTTTCCTGGCTAGAGTTGATGATGAAGGTTGTTTTTTGGGTTCAGCATCTAGGATAGGAACATTCTTCACCTGTAAAAGAAGGTACATTAGGTCAATGCACCAATTGCATAAGTAGTCTCCAGGACTAAGATATTGCGAGTTTGAAAAGAAAAAAACTCACCAAATTCCTGAACTGAAGACTGTAAAATGCTTCGATGTATCTTTGCTTAGCAAGTTTCTGTTCTTTGTTTAGCTGCCTCCAGAACCCGTAAATGGATCCCATGTTCAGTACTTTATTTGCATAAATCTTCCATGTATAGCTACAAATGAAGTACAAAAGTCAGGTAAAGTGACCATAGTGAAGTTTGTATAAAAGGATTTATATCATAATTTTCTTGTGTTATGCAATTACCATTCGTATATGCGCTGCAGGCCAGCTGAAGACACTCTGTTCCAATATTCACTATCTCTCTTGCATTTCTCAAAGAAATCTGCAATCTTATTGCTTGATTCATCTCCATTATTTGGATCAATATGGAAACCTGAAACACCGTCAACAATAATTTCTGCTGGACCACCTTGATTAGTGGCGAAAGTGGGTAATCCACAGTTCATTGCTTCAATCACTGTTAGACCAAAAGCCTCATAAAGTGCTGGCTGCACAAAAGCTCCTTTAGTATCTGCAATGCATCGATAAAGCTCTCCGTTTCGGTATCTATCAGTTTGAGCTGCTATCCATCTTATTTGACCCTTAAGTTGGTATTTTTCTATTAAGGCATGCATTTTGTTTATTTCTGCAATTTCTTCTCTATCTTTTGATTTAGACGGATCAAAGAATCCTGCTACAACCACAAGATTTACTAAGTTTCGCAGCCTCTTGTTCTTTCCATACCACTCTGTTAGTCCTGTAATGTTCTTTACAGTATCAAGTCTTGCCATGGAGAAAATTATTGGTTTCTTCCTGTCTGCAAGGTATCCACTGTTGCAGGCATATTTTAGATTAATGAGTTTTGGCCTATTGTTATTGGTATTGAAATCGTCTCCGGGGTCATAAGATAGCGAATTCAAATGCCAGCCAGAGCCCAGTTAACTGAAAAAAATCAAAGAACTTAAGAAACTTACATGTGCTCATTGTTATCTTCCTTGCTGTAGATTAATTCTTCAATGGCAGGATGAAAGGAGGTCAGCCGCCTTCCTTTCTCGGTGTAGGGAAAGTAGACAGATTGATCAGCTCCAGGAGCAGCAATGTTGAACTTTGGATCGAAGACATTTATGCCTGAGACAACCCGGCAAAGGCCTGGCATAGTAAATGCTTCATGGCTTTCATATTGTCCAGGCCTATCCTTACTGTGAGAAAAACAAATTTTTTCAAGTCAATAATCAGGATAACATTAGTTGCATATGATTTTAGTTAAAAAGACTCACCTTCCTGCAATTTCTTGGTATGTGCTTGTAATGATAAAATCAGCTGCATTCATTGCAATCATGTCAGCTGTAAATTGACAGGAAAAATGATATTTAGGGTCTAATTGCTTCCATTTGGCATCTGAATCTTCATACTTGGTTTTCTCTAAAGCATGAGCTATAGTTGCCTGGATTCATAGCAGATCAATTTTAGAACATAAATGAAGTGACCAATTACAAGTAGGAAAAAAAAAGTAAGTAAAAGACTAATTGAAAGCTAGGCTTAAACCAGAGCAATTCCAAGTCTGTTAGCCATTAGAGATGCCACCAAATTCCCATCACTATAATTTCCAATAATGAGGTCTGGTTTGCTTTCCATTTGTTCAAGTACTTTATCAGCAGCATCCTAATGATAAGCAAAGAGCCCGAGGAAAGAAAAATTGGAAACAAATTAGTTCACAGATAATGAAAAAACTAACAGGGATATAAAATGAACTTAATGGAAGGAAAATGAGGCACTTGCTTGAGCAAATTTCTCAAGGTAAGGATAGACATCGAAACGGGAGATCCATTGAGGAACAACTCCTTTTTCTGTCTTGAATGGGACTCTGAGAATGTTAGAATGCTTTGTGCCAATGATAGATTCCATTTCTTGGTTGCACTTAGTTCCTCGAGCATCCGGAATTAGTCTGGTTACCTATAAGCAAATAAAGATAATTGAAATCTTTTCATTGACTGAAAATCTTTAAATCATGAAATTTGCATTTTAGTTGCTCACCACAAGAATCTGAGGCTTCATGTTTAGGCCTTGTTGCTTGATTCTAAGCAGCAGCTCTTCCTCTAATGCTCTTACTTGATCAAGAATGTAAACCACCTACAGAATCACACATTATAGATTTCAATGCATTGATCAAGAATTTTAGTAACGTTTCTTTTGGGGATGTGTTATGCACCTGGCCGCCAGTATCCGGCAATCCAAGAACATCTGCCTGACCAAAGTAGCCATGTGGAGAGAAAATTACAATGTTGAACATGTTAGGAAGCCTGCTAAAGAACAACTCTAGTTTCGCCGAGTCCGGTGCTTCAAGTGATTCTGAAAGCATCCTCATTGTCTCTTTTACTCTTTCTGCAGTATTCCCCCATCCCTTCTCAAACCCCAACTCTTTCAGCCTGATTAATTCACAGTTAGAAAATAGCATTCTCTTCTTGAAATAAGTCTGTTTGGGCATTAATATAGAAAATTACCTTTGTTGGAAATTCAGATGTGGTGTGTCTTTTGGAAATGCTGAGAGAACACTTTCAGCTTCCATTAGTGCTGCTTGAAGTTTTGCAACTGAATCCAACTTTTCATTGATTATAAGACTCTGCATATTAAAACAGGTTATTTTCTACCTATTAATTAAAGGAAATAACTAATATTTTTAAATTTCTTGTCAAAAATGGGTACCTCTCCCTGATAATTAAGGGCTAGCAAATAGTCAAGCAAAGGCTTTGCAGCAGCAGAGCTACCACCAAGCTTTGAGGAAATAAATTTTGAAATGTAATTCATGCCCTTCCCAATAGAAGAGGATAAAGTGAGGTGGGGAGTTGAGAAATCAACAGCTCCAAAATCTATTTCCAAAGCATTTTCATCTCTACCCCTGCTCATATAACAAAAAAAAAAAAAAAAAAGTTGAGAAATCAACAGCTCCAAATCTATTTCCAAAGCATTTTCATCTCTACCCCTGGCTCATATTAACAAAAAAAAAAAAAAAAAGGAAAAAAAAAAAAAAAAAAGAAAAACGCAAATTCATTTTTCATAATTAGAGTTACTGGTTCAAAAGTTTTTCAATTCCCTTTTTTTCTCTTTTTTTTTTCTTGCTAGGAGCCTGCATATGTCTCTATAAATATATATATACCAATTCTCGTCGAAGATCATTTCTTTGAACTGCAAGTATTCTGATGAAGAGATACCCTCTACGCTTAAATCATCAGCATTCACTTTAACATATTCCCAAAATCCAGGATTTGGCCTTACTGCAAATGCAATATAAGGTGGAACAACAGCTGCTTCCTGCAAAAATATTTGGAAAATAACAGTTTAGTCCATACATCTGGGAAAATTTCACTTTTACATCCCTAAAATTATAGTGCCTTGTTAATATACACAAAAGAAAGAAGGAGAAAATAAATACCTGAGTTGAACTCAGAATGTAACCAAGTAAGCCTTCCAAGACCTTCTTCCTTTCAGACTTATCTTGTATTGATTTCTCCAGTTCGTCCATTATATTTTGTTGTTTTATTAGTTTTCTACCAGTTGCAACAAACCTTTTATTTTTAAAAAAAGAAAAATTCCAACAAAGAAAAGAAGATCAAATATTTATGAGCAAAATTAGCGAAATTAAGAAAAACACAAACATAATCTGCACAAAAAGAATGCACCTAGAAAAACATCTCTTCATATGATACTTGCTTTGCCTCAATGCATCAGGCATACTCTCTGCAATTGTATCGGACCGCTTAAGTGCTTTCCCAGAAGCCATTTTTCAAGAAAAAATATAAAACTAAGTTGCTTATAAAACAGAAAGATTTTATAAAGTTTTGTGTTTTGTAATTGAGGCCTTAATGTATTTATAGCAACTAGAAAATGGAAATACAGCAAGGCTTTTTTTGGGTTTGGCTAGGAGAGTAGGAGAAGGAACATTCCTCAGAACCATGTTGAGGGAAAGAGAGAATTGAAAGAAAGAAAAGAATATGTAAATTGGTTGAAGCAAATTTAGATTTGCGATCTTTTTGTCAATAGAGATGCTAAAAGTTGAGGCAAAAGAATTATTTAATGTTTTTGCACTGATATATGCTTTTCTTCTTCTTATATATCAAACATTTTACAAGAATTCTTGCTAATGCTATGACCACTTTACCGCTGATATGTTTTGAACTTCTATTTTCAGCTACTGTTCTTGTACAATTTTACTGTTAGTCATATGTTTTAAGCTTAAACATTCTTTGGCTAACTGTCAAGTAACCTCTTCTGCTTTTATTGTTTTTGGTTTTTATTTTTCTTTTCATGTTTGCAGATATCACCTTTATTTCTTTACTAGTTTTATTCTCTCATGTTATAATATCAAAATGAAAATGACACCAGTGTCCTTTTCATTATTTAAATCATATAATAATACTTCATACGTTCCAAATAAAAAAATAATAAGAATCCACTTTATTTTTCATATAAATTAAGAAACATAAATTATTATAGTTAGAATACAATTTTATTACTATAACTTTATATCCATCTTAAATAACAAATGAGTAATTATTATATTGAAATAATAAAAAACATATTAATAATATAAAATGGGGAATATAAATTGCAACTAATAAAAATGACCAATATTGATGACTTTTCTTTACAGAAATTTGAAAATTTCATCTACTAATGTGCTAAATTAACTTGAAAAAGTAAGATTGACTCGAAAAAAAGTAAAAAATTAATGAGAATTATTATAATAGCCAATTTAAAAATTAACTAGTGTAAAAAAAAGTAAATTGACTACATTTTGAAACACACCAAAATGGAAAGACGGACTATTTTTTTTTTTTTTTAGGACAGAGGGGAGTAACATTCTCAATAAACAAAGCAATAGAATCTAATGCAAAGAGGATAAATCTCATATTAATAACAGAGAATATATACAAAAAGACACACAAGTAATATAAAACTATTGTTATAAGTATAAAATATAAACAGCCAAACCCTTGAATTGAATGAATGAATCTCACTAAAAAAGAGTCTGTTCAAGGTCAGGGGTGAACGAGTAGACATATCAAATAGGGATGTCTGCTACTGTAAAAGAACATATTCTACGGAGTTTACTTGGTATGGACATGTAGTACCCCAGCTTTCTCTCTCTTCTATGTTCAAAAGCATGAAATCAGTCTCCTCTCAGTGTGTTTCGTCCAGAATGGGGCTCGTGTCCCGGGTAATGATAGTACGATGTTGAGATTCAATATATACACTCTGAAGCTCCGATTGCTGCACATTAAGAGAATTGATGTCGTTGGAAGACTGAGCGCCATTCCGAGATTCTGCCAACATCTGAAAATATGCATGAGGTCCCCAGCCTGCATGAACAATCATATAGAGCAAGATAAGAAATTTACGCACAAGTTATGCTGCTAATGCACCATAATTAATATGTAGTCATGATGACATGAAGTCTGAAAAATTTATTCTATTTCAGCTATGCCAGACAAAATTGTATGATAAGAGACTCGCTGAGGTAATTTGACAAAAAGCAAAAACAAGAAAAAAACAAACAACTACAAAATCATTACTATCAATGCATTGTCCAGGGAAAAGTTTTGAATGACATTAATGTGGAATTGATGTCCATTTACTTTTCCCAACAGATTAAACTCAATAATTAATTTTCCTACAAATTAACTTGGTAATTTTTTCTTGTTGCATTTCATGAATCAAAAAGTGGTCTCATACTTGGTGGCAAATTAAGGTTGGGACAGCTTAAGAGACCTCAGTGACTAAACATAAATTTTTATTGACACCGGCAAGGTGGTATTTGTGTGCATATCCTATTACCTCAGGCAGAAAACTCTTCAACAAAGACACAGGAAAGCTTTTGAATATCAGACGATACAAGATTCTAAATGGGACATTCTTCGACAAACATAGAAACTGCCGAATAGAAAATATCAAAAACCAAACATTTTAAGACAACTGTAAGACATACACCACATATTATGAGAAGCTAGCAGCAACCATTGTCACTCTGCCTTTTTTTCTTTTCTCAATGTCTTTTTAGAGCACATGCATGTATATAAACTTAGTGCAACAGTTTTTTTTATTATTGCAACAGTAAGGCATTCCCATTTAATACATCTTCTGGATATCAACTCGCAATAAGCAAACCATAATACACAGAGTAACAATAAATGCACATCATATGTAGCCAATTGAAGAAGGAATATAGAACAATATACCATCAATATCATATGGGGGTGGGAAGAATTGCAAGTAACAAAACGAAGCAACTGTCAGTCCTGCACACAAAGATAACAGAGTAAAGCTTTCATTTGATAAGTACTTTATTTAAATTGCAAAAATTTGAATCCTTGACGAACAGACCTATAAGACCCCCAGCAAAAACATCTTGCCAGTGATGCCAGTAGTCATCAACTCGAGAAATACCAATAAGAGCTGCAACAAGCAATGGTAAAATCACAATACAGAGTTTTGCAACATGGCCTCTACGATCAAAAACTCTGATTTTCCCAGATAAGTACCATGATAGAAAACCGAGGCCCGCAAAGGACCCTGCATATCAAAAGGCAGAATTCCCTTAGCTATCATCTCATTATCAATGCAAAACATATGATGCAGGGCGACTATCTGTAGACAGGATTTTGCACATTGCATCCTTCGAAGAGAGGTTGTAATGAATGCAAAAGACATCATTTTCCTTATAATTAGTGAATTTTTTCTTGAAACAAAATGACCTTGTAGCAATGAAAAAGGAACCTAGCAATACAACATAAGAATAATAAAATTTTAAATGGCTTCCTACTTATGTAATGTAACTTCAGCCTTGAGGAAATAAAAGAAATTTTTATATGCTAGAGTAACTTCAAGAGATCATCATAAAAAACAAACATTGAAACTTAGAGCAGTTTCCATAATTACATATTGCATTTTGTCTATAAAGTGTTAAGCAGCAGCTATTTCTTCTGCTTTTTTTTCCCTGGGTGGGAGCATGTATGTTTGACTATGCCAAACTACAGAAGAAAAAACCTGGTCATGGAGTCAATTAAGTGCAACTTGCAACTGTGACAAAACTAATCATATGTAAAGCAGCATTCCCTAAATCAATCTCAAACAAAGTCTTATAATTAGGAGAAGTTATGAATGATAGAAAGAAAATGTAGGAGTACATAGAAATGATTTAAGGAAAAACATAGTTGCAAAAACAGATTCTAGTACATTCCAAGACAGCAAGAAGGATAGGTAATATTAGTTTATGTATTGAACTACAACCTGAGAAATAAAAGCAACTATTATTCAGGACAGAAGACAGAAATGATTAAACAGTACCCCTTTGCTTATAGACAGGCTAAGAAATATATACAGATAGCAATTTCCGTTTTCCAATAACACATGCCATGCAACAAAAAGTAAATGGTTACAGATTATGTAGAAATCCCCATTTATTTAGTAAAGCATACAGTTCTTGGAGTTATTGGGGCTGCTTACAAGAAGTATGGCCGCTAGGAAAACTCTTGTGTCCTTCTTTAATGACACTCTTATCTCCGGTACAAATGACATCTGTTGTGACATTATCAAACACCTGGACATACAACACCATGATGTTGATCAAGTGAAAATATGAACACCAAGTAAGAACTCAGTTTACAAACTTCAATCTGACAAGTGAATATCAGTTTAGTTAACTGGGAACTCACCCCCTTGCCATTTGGGAAACAACGCCAAAAGAAGTCAGGTCTAGGACGACCGACACCATCTTTAATTGCATCGGTTATGACTGCAGTAATAAGCACAGAAAATAGAAGGCCTGCATCCATTTTAGTTCATTATCGCATCAATAAAACACAAACAAACAGCGGGAACAAGAATGAAAAAGGCACAAGATACTGAAAGCTACCTAGAATAGCATGGTGCAGGTCATAGACATCCCTTCTGATAAAGTAATAGACGCTAATGATGACAAAAGGCAGCAATATCCCAACAATCTGTTGGCAGGGAAAGGGGGGAAATTTTTAGTAACAAGAAACAACAAAATCTGTTATATCAAAAAAGAAATTTTCAAATCTAAGATATTATTTCCTAAAGTTAAAACATACTGGAACAGCCCAAAATGGAACAGTATTGTCTTTCAGTGGGTATGACAGGTCTGTCATCATATCCCTTCCAACAAAACGGTGAAATGGTTCTATAACATTCAAAACGACATCTATCACCACAAGAAGCAAAAGAATCAGCCAGTCGTGCATATGAACCCTGGCAACTTTGGCTCCATGAGATTTTATTGTGTGAGAACCCAACTGAATCTCTGGCATTTGGTCACTGATCTGAATCCAAATTATAAGATTAGCTAAAACAAATAAAATCTTAAGTATATTGATTTAAATAAAAAAGTATAAAGTAAAGTCAGATATCCATTCTGAATGATTCTATATATCTTGACCCCATACTAAATTGACCTTTCTGACAGCTTTACCATGCTATTTTAGCAATTTAGAAGCTCAAAAATCAAATGGCGTAAAAGGCTTTAAGGCTTTAGGCATTTGAGTAATTTTAAATATCTTGTTTGTTCAATAGCTAGTTTGTATCCTTTGGTTGCAACATTAGCTCCAGAAACCATCCAAATTAAACAAAAGGCCATAACTGTCTCAATTTTACAAAACAAGGACACACCAATACAAACAAGAACCACCCGAACACGCAGATACAGGTTATACAAGTAAATATAACCAAAACTACAACAGAATAACAACTGGAAAGAGAAAATTATAGTTAAGTATTAAGTATCTCAACTTTCAACCGTCCACGCAGTAACTGCAAATGAAAAATTAAAAAAACAAAAAAAAAAACAAAAATTGTGAAGAAGTTCTGGATCAATCAAACTGAAATAAACTAAAGCTTTTCTGGACGCCGTTTGGCTGCTAAGTATGAAAAATGCAAGAAATGAAACTAATTATAATATTCTAATAATCAAAATTATAACAATTGAAACTGCACTCCACTCTAAAATAGAAGCCAAGTTAAGTTCCGTTCAGCGTCTCTGTACATTTTCCAATACAGTCAGAGGAAAAGTAACTGCACGCTCCTTTTTTTTCCCGATTTTCTTCCAATTTCTCGGCAACCAAACAGTTTTTCATTGAATTCAGAAAGGAATGTAAACTAAAAAAATAATAAAAATAAAATAAAAAATAGTAGAAAATATGGAAGACGAACTAACCTGAACTGCAGGGGAGAAATTTTAGAATTTGTAAATGAAGGATAGAAAGTGACTGACGGTGGGGAAGTTTTTTTTCAAAGTGAAAGAAAATGTGCGATATATCTTTTCTTTGAAGATCTTTTAACGCGTAAGACCGCATTTAATATTTAATTATAATTTTCTAAAAGAAATGTATTACTATAGTATTATAATTTCAAAAGAAATTACAGTGCAATCCTACAATTTGGAATCGTAACCGATCCATCTCTGTCTTTTAAAAAATAGATCAAATTTTTCCCATACTTTACTTCAGTTGCACTAATAAATTTTTTTATCCAATTTTTACATCTTTTCTGTTAAGTCAATAAGAAAATATAAATATTTAAAGGAAAGATACTAAAATATTACATTAAAAAAATTTCAGTACAGACTCTATAGTTTGAAAAATAAAATTAATCTTTTCTGTGTTTTTAAAAATATATTAAAGGTCATAATTAATAAAAAAATATTTTTATTAATTCATAAAATATTTAATAGAAAAAATACAAAAATTGAATGAAATAATTTTCTAATATAGTGAAAGTAAATTATAAGAAAATATTAATATATTTTTTAAATAATTAAGATAAGATTATATTTTGCAAATCACCTAGACGATTGAGCGAATGAGTTGGACAATAGTCATCTAAGGAAGGTTTTTTTGGCTTTTGAGTTAGCACTCAACTAATCATGGCTAAAATATAATGTCGTTTTGCAGGAATTGGAGCTTTTTGTTTCCAGTGATGTTGATAGTATAGAAACAAAACTGCATAACAGGATGTTCCATAAAATTAAATATTTTGTAAGCTGATAGCTTTTCATCATAAATTAAAAGAAATAACGTTTTATAATTAATTAATTTTTTCAAGGAATAGTATAAATAATAAACATTAATCAAATATTAAACATTACATGAAAAAATTTTATTGAACATGATCTAAAATTAAAAAATTAAATGCAATTGATTTTTAATTTAATTTTCAATCGGATTAAGAAGTGTAGTTTTAGCTTGCACTTGAGGTGGGATTTCAGTTTGATTATAAAAAATAAATTTGTTTTGTTGCAAAACAAATTGAACCAAATCAGATGATTTAACTCGATTCTAAAAGAAAAGCTAATCTCTCTGTCTGTCTCTCTCTCTTTTTTAATCAATATTGAAAAATTTTGGTGTCATCTTTCATGTAGTGGGTGACAAGGAGGGGATAATGTGGGGTGTGTTAGTGAATTGTGATTGGAGTCTTAAAAGAAATGAGTTGTCAAAAAGCAAGTCAAATTTGAAAACGGAAAGACAGAAGTAGACAAAACAATAATCCTAAAAATGAACAGTTGGTGAGGAAAACAGACAACATTGTGGCCCTATTTTCGGTAAACTGTCATCCACATCCACCAATTTATGTTTCAAAAAGCACGGCTTGCTTGCTTTTCAGTGCAGGTATTTGCGATTTAATTTATAATTTTTTTATCATTTACTAAAAATATTACTCATCATGATTTTAATTCCGTATAAAAAGTAATTAAATACAATTAAATAAAATTATAGAAATAGTTGATAATCTTAGCTAGATTTTAGTTGAATATATAATTTAAACAATTTAGATACCATTTAATTTAAATAATTCAAAAAAAATAATTGTAGCCAGATTTTAGTTGAGCCTATAATTTAAACAACTCAAATACTTAAATATGAATAATTTTAATAAATAATTAAATTGACCAATCACGATAAAAAAAAAAGAAATTTTAGAGAAAATAATAATAAATTTTTTTAAAAAAATGGCTAATTATTAATGCTGATTTGAAGTAGCAATTAATGCATGAATTTTCTATTGGCAAATTTAACGCTAAAAGTAGCTCTAACTTCAAGAGCAATAAACTAAGAATTAATGATATTAATTCACTATAAAAATTTCAAAATCGTTTCTTATATTATTACAAATTGTAAATGTATATGAATACACTACAAAATATATTCTCTATCTTCCTAAATATTTATCATATTTCAAAAAAAATGTTTCGAAATACTTATTATATTTATAAATTTAATAGATAATAATTTTTTTATTTTACCTTTATATATTATCAATAATGATTGCTTTAATTTCTCAATAATTATTGTAACTTATATAAACTAAAAGTAATATAATTAGTTCACTCAATAATTATTTGTAATTTAGACAAATTGAATGATTTTTTTAGTAGATGTATAATATCCAAATGTGATAATTATTTAAAAAGAAAGGAAATATACGAGGTTATTGATTATCAAAAAATCAAAGAATTTTTCAATAACGTAATGAATTTATTGTTTGAATAACTAATTATTAAAAAAATAAACAACTTTTTATTCAATACAATAAATTTACGACGGGGTTATTGGTCATTGAACTCAATTAGAACAAATAGTTAATTAAATTTATGTGTCAATATTTTAGAATATAGTAATAAAAACAGGAATATTAAATTCACATAATATGATTTGAATTTTTAAAACAATATAATAAAATTATATTTTCTCATAACGTGGGGTCATATGACTAGTTTATATTTTATAATTAATTGAAAGTTGACTTTACATTAGATTATTAATTACCATTACATTGTGTCTCTAAATCAATTAAACTTTATGAAAACAGCCTTTTTTGATCTTTTTATATTCCTTGCTTGCTATGATACGAAATTTTTTTGTTCCTTCTCTATATGATTCAATGCCTTTAAGAAAAAGTCCGTGGCAACAGCCAATTTGTGGATTGGAAAAGAAAATAATTTTACATAAATTTTCTTAATACGGTGTTTCCACCCTGTTATTCAGATATTTTTAACGTTATATATAAAATTCACCTGAAATATAGTTGAGTCGCTTCCTAATTTTAAAAAATTAATAAATAAAAGAAAACACTAAATTCAATTCTCCAGAATAGAAGGACACATGGCATTCTACTTATTTTATAAGCTGACATTAACATAGAGACTAGGTGTGAGTGTAGTTAGTAAAATATTATATGTTTGATTTTGATATTATACGAGAAAGAAGGTTTTGTTACTTAATGCTTCCTATATAAACCACATCAACAAATTAGGATTACATGCTTTGGTAATGTAATAATCAATAGCCATTCAAATTTAAATTTTAGAAATCTCAAATGGGTGATTCTACGAATCTGTTATAAATATTCGCTAAGAAGAATATTAGATTATCAAATTACTTATCAAATTAATAAATTGACAAACGCTGTTGTGATCAAAGGATTTAAAAACTCGAAATTTCTTATTCTAACGTGTAAAATGAGAAGACAAACTAACTTAATTTTACTTCACAAAGAAGAAATGAGTTGATCCTATATTTTTTATGTTGCTTTTCAAAAATTATTATCGTAACTAGTAGCCAAGGCTTGTGGTTTGCTTTCATAAACTTTTTCCTTGATTTGCAAAACCATTCTAATGCTCCAAAAATTACTCAAAGTAACCTTATTTATGAGTACATTCAAGTAACCCATTTATTTTGCTTTCCTTATAACTCTAACAAAAAGCCTAAAATTATACACACAAGTGAACACATTAAAATAAATAAATAAATAAATAAAATATACATATTCATCATCTCCTTCCAGTTCCAGATTCCAATTCATCCAACGATGTAAATTGGTCGCTGTTTCCCCTTATACCTTGTAAATTAACCACTTGTACATCCATGGCCTGCACATTCAGTGCATTTCCAGTCTGTCCTCCGCTCGTCTCAGAACGCGACTCCTCTAAAGCTTTGAAATATGCATAAGGCCCCCATCCTGCAGTAATCGTAAGAGTAATTACTAATTAATTCCACCTTAAAATAATCAATTTTAGTGCTAAATTTCTGCTCAAAAAGAGAATTATAGTACCTTCATTGTCATATGGAGCTGGAAAAAATTGCATGTAGCAAAATGCTGAAACAACAAGCCCTGCAATCATACAGACAAGTTATTATACTATCAGATTTTAATTGTATCCAATTAAGGGCAGAAATCTATGCAACTACGGATGGGTTATTGCTAAAGACTGTATATAAGTCAAGCTGTTCAAGACGGGCTTGAGGCACATCTCAAAAACAAAAAAAGAAGAAAGGCTTGTTCGAACTTGTTCGATAAGCTTACTATGTATTATATGTTAATCTTAACAGGTACATCCTTATACTATTTCAAATTCTGCCCCTCCGAGTTCATATGTTTCAGTAACGAAAATTTCGAACCAATTCAAAAACACAATCTCAAATTGCTATTTTGTTCAATAAAATCTATTAACAATCAATCTTTTTCGGAAAAATTAATTTTAATCTCAAAGTCCAACGGACATGGGACTGACCTAAAATAGCTCCGGCAAAGACATCCGTCCAGTGATGCCAGTAGTCATCGACTCGAGATATACCAACAAGAGCAGCAGCAAGGAGAGGTAGAATAATAACACACAGTTTTGCCACATGACCTCTGCGATTAAATACTTGAATTTTACCAGACAAGTATAATGACAGAAATCCCAACCCAGCAAAAGACCCTGCACCAACAACAAACATTAATTAATTCCTCATCAACTACATCTAATTTCAACATAGTTAATTATTAAATATTTAAAATTTGAGAATACCTGAGGTGTGTCCACTAGGAAAACTCTTATGTCCTTCCCTTATATCACTTTTCTTTCCATGGCATATTACATCTCCCCATTGATCATAAAACTAGGCAAACCCAGAAACAAATATTCTAAGAAACAATTGTGCAGAATGGAAAAAAGAAAGAAGATGAAAGAAAATGAAGAGAAAAAATATTACTTACTTCCTTTCCATCAGGAAAGCAACGCCAGAAGAAATCCGGTCTCGGTCGACCTACTGCAACTTTTATTGCCTCCGTTATAATAGCAGTAATAAGGACAGAAAATAGTAAGCCTAGAATGCTGTGGTGCAGATCATAAACATCTCTTCGTCGAACATAAACGAAAATGAAAATGACAATAGGAAGCAGAACTGCATATAACTGATCATCAAGAACAAATACTAACTAATCACAATCTGGTAAATGATTATAGGAAAAATTTAAATGGATTGTAAAGAAAACTTACAGGGACAGACCAACCAGGCACAGTATTATCTTTGAAAGGATATTTAAGGTCTTCCATCATGTCCTTCCCAACAAATCTATAAAATGGATGGATAATAAAAAGAACAATCTCTATTACTACAAGTAGTAGTAATATAAGCCAATCATGCATATGATTCTTTGCAACTTTTGCTCCATGAGACCTAATAGTATGAGCACCAAGATCCACCTCTCTCATTCTTCCTTGCTGCTAAATGGAAAACATACAATTAACTCAAACCAAGTGAAGTTTAAGCAACAATTATGAGCATAAAACATGTATTTATAATATAATTATATTGAGTATTCAAGTAATACTTAAATGAAAAAGACTTTGTAATTAACCACAAAAATTTCTATCAATATTCTTTTTACAAATGCAGAATGATTAAGTTTAGAAATATCTTTAATTCCTGTTTAACCCACTTGATGGGACTAAATACCTTTTCTTTAAAAAAATTTGACTAATAATTTGATTTTTTTTTGTCAATATATAATAAATAAACTGGAAAAAAAAAATCTTTCTTCCACTATAAATATTTGCTGATTTTGTGATATTTTGGTTAGTTGCAGTTATTGACCAAATCACTGAACTAACCAAAAATTAGTAGTTATTAAAATTTTGAGATACAATAGATAATATTTCAGTCTAAATATCTCATTCACTGACAAAATCGGAAATAACCAGAAATTTCAAATTACTTGCCGACACTAATAGTTATCAGTTCGGCTTTGAAGCCAACAAGGACCCAGAAAGTTAAAGCTCAAAACTTTACTCTTCAATTTTCATTTTATACATGAAACCCATGTATTAGTAGAGAAAATAGAGATTCAATGAAGTCAAAAATGGCCGTCTTCCCTAAGGAACACTGCAAGTTTCAGTGATACCCTTTTGTAGGATATAATAATGAATTAAAAACAAAAAGCCATAACCATAATAATTAGATCTTGACAAAAACTGCCTTTTAAAAGTTCTTAGAATAATAATTAAAGTTAATAATAATTTATCAACTAACCTGAAAGACGCTAAGGAAATCCTGAACAGAAAAAAAGGATACTATATTCTTCCACGGCATAGATGAGCAAGAAATGGTACTTAGTATTTACCTTACTGACAGGAAAAGAAATGCTGAAAGACAGAATCTTTGTCTCCGAAGGCAAAAGAAAAAGAAGCACAAGAAACACATAAAGTAAAAGAGTAAAAAGCAAGACGAGAGGAACTAATTTTATTAACTCAGTTTCTTCTCAAAGATTTCCCTTTGACATAAATTATGAAAAACAATAAGAAATTATCTCAGTTTTTTAAATAATTTCTTGGTGCCGGACGGTTAAGTGTGTTAAAGCCATGGAACACTGAAATAATTTTTTACAATAATTTAAAAAAAAAAAACTAATGTCAAAAAAAAAAACTGAAAAATAAAATTTTGAATTCAAATCGATCGATTTTCTATTTAAAAAATTAAAAAACAGTTTTTACAATTTTTTAAAATTTAATTAAAATTTAAAAAATAGCTTTAATTCATTTTTTAGAGTTTTTCTTTATAATAAAAACATGTTTCCAACTATTTTTTAATTTTAAAACATAGTTAAAATTATAATACCAGTAAATAATTTTTTATAAAATATTTACATTTGAAAAAATAAAAATTTATTTTATACTTTGATAACTAATTAATTTTGTTATCACAAATGCATTATATCCTTTATTTAAAAAAATTACAAAATGATAGAAAATAATATTATTATTATAAATAATCAATAATAAAAATTTAAAAATTTTTACATAAAAAACTTCTAAATTTATTTTTATAATGAAAGTTATGAATAATATTTGTGAAGTTAATTAAGATTTGTAAGTAAATTAAAATATAATTTTTTTATTATTATCAAGTGATCATATAATTTTTTATTATTATCAAGTGAATCTTTTTTTCATTTTGTATTTTTTAATTTTTATCTTTTTAAAAAATAAAAAATAAAAAATAAAAAACTGTTTTTTTAATAAATGGACCTTTAAATTTTCAGATAAGAATTAACCAACCGTTCGATTTTTTATTATAAATATAATATTGTCATTCGGTTGATCAAATAGTGAACTTCCAGATAACGACTCTGTTTGACCGTCAAAAGCGAGGACCGGCCGACGCTAACCCTTGGATTTGTTGACCAGCTCTATTTCGTGTGGGGCCAAATGCGATGAAGAAATGTACAAAAATAGGTACTTCTACGAAAAGAACATAGAGAACGACGTCTGGGAGGTAGAAAAAGCCACAGATTGTAAATAAATAAGGATAAAAACTATTTAGTCCATAAGTTTGCTCATAATAATTTCACCCTTTTTATTTGAAAAATACATTGATTAACTCCTAATTTCAGCTATATTAAATTATTTAAATCTCAAGGACCAATCACTTTATTTACCAAATATTTATGATCAAACATAGAGAACAAATAATTTTACCTTATAAATTATAGTCAAATGCATAAATTTGCCTACTTAGGTGATTGCACCCAAAATTTTAATAAATTTGCATCTAAAGTTGTAAAATTTGGTAAAACTACGTATCTCTATCTTGCCAATCCAACTTAAATGAGAGAACCAATGGAAAAATAGTATTTATAACATAAGAATCCGTTTTCAACGGATGAATTTCACATAATTTTTTAGAATTTATTTATAAATCCAAAATTTTATATTTAAAATAAAAAAAATATGAACTTAAATTCTGTAGAATTTGGTAAGCTTATCTAAATGAATTGAATTCTAAATATCCAAAACACGTAGCCGTGTTCTCTTATCTTATCATTTTTTTATCGATTAAATTGCCTTGTGCTAATGTTATTGCTTTATATAAAATAAAAGTGGTCATTTTCTCTTTTTCCTTCTTATTGTATATCTCTATAATTATATATTTTTTCTAGATTTTCTAATATTTTTTAAAGAGTATGAAATTGCTATTGTACACGACTATGATTATACATTGAATTTGAATGAGTTTTTAAATTTGAATATATTTTAATCTATTAATGAAAATTAAAATTTAGACATTTGCAATGACTTAAAATATGAACTTTAAAATTTTAAATAATTAATTAGGATGAAATATGAGTGCATTTATTTATATTAGTATTTTTGTTAAATTATTATGTCAGAGATATTTTAGAAAATAAAGATAAATGAATTTTCATTTTAAGAATTATTCCAAACATAATTTTGTGGAATTCTATTGAATTATTTATTTTAAATTGTAGCATAACAAAAATGATAAATTCATTTATAAATAAATTGTACAATTATGATTCATTTATTCTAAACCGAATGTAAAAACCAAACAATATACAAGAATTAAAAGAGAGCAAATAATGAAAAAGGTTACATCTTTAGAGACGGAGGAGGAAGAGAAATGGGGTGGCCACACTTAAATATTTGATTTTGAGCAATTTTTGAATATAAGATAAATGGTTGAAGAAATCATGGGTGTGTTCACATATAGAAAACTGAAGTAATTTTCTAAAAAATTTTCCAAGAAAATTAGAAAACAGAATTTTGTGCTCAAATCAGTCAATTTTCTAATTGGTTCAGTTTTTTAAAATTTAACTATGATTTGAAAAATAACTTTTAAGTTGTTTTTCAGAGTTTTCCTTTATAACAAAAGACATGTTTTCTAACTCTTTTTTACTTTTTAAAAATGACATTTTCATAATTAAAATTACAATGTCAATAAATAATTTTTTCTACATTTTCATTTAAAAATAAAAATTTATATTATGCTTTAATAAATAATTAATTTTATTATTACCAATATATTGTAGCCTTTATTTTCAAAAAAATTTATAAAATGATAAAAATATATTATTATTATAATAATCAATAATAAAATTTCAAAAACTTTTACATAAAAAATTCTAAATTTATTTTATTACATTTTATTTTTTTTAATTATGAAACTTATGAATAATGTTTGTGAAGTTAGATTAAAATATATTTTTTATTATTATCAAGTGAATGCATTTTTCATTTTTTTTAAAAACTATTTTCTTAAAAAACAGAAAACTATTTTCTGTAAGTAAACGTATCCCAAGATGCCAACTTCTTACTAACCCTACAAATTTGTTATTAGCAATGACATTATTAATTTGTTCTTTTTCCATATTTGCAAATTATCTAAAGATCCACAACTCTTCGCTCTCACTATAACTAGTGAAGAAGCTAGAAATTAAAATTAGAGGGCTAAAAAAAAATTTAAGAGCTAAATTTACTATTTTAAAAGATAAATAAAAAATTCAATATTTTATGAGGTAATTCTTTAAAAAAAAATTCATCCTCCTCTAGCTCTGTCAATGATCATAACGTTTAAAGTCAAATGTTAGAGCAACTTGCTTTTATCACATAAAACATCAAATGAGCTCCTAGTGCCAGAGTTAGATTCAATGAAAGAGGCTTGGAATTTTTTTTTTTTTTTATTTTTGAAATTAAGGGAGTAAAATAAAAAAAAAATTAGTCAAATAAACTAGGGACAATCACAAAGGGTTCCAGTCATATGCCTAATTTTAGTTCGACTGACCTGAAACAGAGCATGATGAAAAAGAGTTTTTGAGTCCATTATTGAATTGAATAAGAAATAGGGTAATAAAGATCAAATATAACCACATTGTACTTTCTAAGAAGTAGCCTCTACTTTTTGGAAAATCAATTTTCAAAAATTGGTCGATTTTTACCAAAATGACTAAAACGATGCTTAAGTCCTTTTTAAGGAAAATAACTTTTCATTTTTAAAAGGATAAAATATTATTTTGGAGATTAATAAACTTATTATAACCTTATAAATATGCATTTTTTAATTCATTAATCACTGGTAATCACTACCACTAGTCATCATTCACTAGCAGCCACCACCACTAGGCACCGTCGACCACTACCATCAGTCACCGGCAACAAATATAATTTACCATTTTTTATTTTTTCTCATATTTAATAATAGATTTTTAAAATATGAAATTTCTAGTATTATAAATATTTGTATGATATTATAAATTACCTATTTAACTAATTTTCAATACTATAAATGGAGTCTGGATTGTTATTTAATTTCAAATTACATAATGATATCTTGTATTTATTGTTGCAGCATTATTTCTGTTGTGATTACATTTCAAGAAAAAAAAATGAAGAGAGATTTTTTCATAAAGTAGAAGAGGAGGGCCAAATGCATAAATATATTCATGTACTTTATAGAAAAAATCTTGTGATACCCTTAACTTTACGAGTGATCTATTATGCCTTTGAAGTTACGAATTTTGCTAATATTGTATCCCTCACTATACTAAGAATAATATTTTTTGGTAATTTTGGTATTTATGTGCAAGATATTCACTTAATATATAGTTAGTATAATCTTTGGAGCAATAATATTTATATTTTTCAACTATTTAATAACCGTTTAATTGATCTAATTTTAGAAATTTGATTATTCAATAGAATAGTTTTTGTAAGTTGAAGTATTAAATTAATACAATTTTATAAATTAAAATATTCAATAAGTCAAAGTAAAAATTAAGAATGCTATAAAGTACATGGATGAATTTATGGATCGGACAAAAACAGAATTGTATGATATTCTTGAAAATTTCTAAGTTTCACATCAAATGCCAACGCATAAACTTTCTTTTTTTGTTTCTCTTACTAAGGAATTGAATTCGAGTGTGTGTTTTGTCAAGTGGAGAATGAATCTAGCTAGTTTTGTAATTTTTTTTTTTTTTTTTGAATCATTTTTTTTTTTTTTTTATTTTTTTTTTTTTTTTGGACTTTTTTTCCTCATGGACAACAAGGCAAAATTTAATTTTCATTTCATATATTTTTTATTTTAAAAATATGCATATTAGCCTAAATTTTTCTTTTTATTTTTAGCTGTCAGTATTTAAATTCTAGTCTTATCCTTGACTATAAGATTGAGCTGGCACACAATTTCTAAGACAAAAAAAAAAATATATTAATTGAGAAATTTGTTTCTTGGTGTTTTACTTACAAAAACAGGTTTTTTTTTTTTTTTTCAGTGTAGCGAAGTTAATATGCTACTTATTTACATGTAAAACTAATTGTCAATTTTCAACTAAATTATAACAACAATTTCAGAATGAGAAGAGAGAAACAATGAAGAGTAAATTGAGAGAGAATGATGATGCAACGGATGGAGTACCCGTTTAAAATGAATTCTCTAAATCCAAACCCAATTATAAATTAAATATC